CAGGCAAATTTGCGGAGCAGAAAACAAAAGCGACCGTACACTCTCACTGAGAACTACTCTACTACTTTATGGAAATGTATCAGAGTATGTAATGTAATGTAAATAGTACATAAAAAAATATTGGGGACAATATTTTTACAAATTTAAATTAAAATTTCACCAATTTATTTCTTACGCTATGTTTGCGAAATCTGCACAAAATCAAATCACTTGCTAATGAACGAAAATGACACATAATATTCAAATAAATTTAAATGAATGAATCGATGACAACTAACTCAAAACCACATAGTAAAGTAGAGTACCATACATCGTATGCGCTAGTCATGTGTGCGCAGTTATTGCTGCCTGTAGAAATAGTGAAATACAAAATTACAAATACTGTATACAATGAAGTTTTTTCCCGAATTATCACGCCCTTACTGGACGTATACACCATTTTTGGCCAGTCTTTATAACTTAACTCCAACATTTGAATGCTTTCGCACCACAAATGTGAAAATTACAGGGTATTTTTGAATATGTCATGTCCCTTAAAAGGCGTAAAATTATTTTTGACTTAATGGTAGAGGAGGATACAACTATCTTAACTATCTAAGTTTAACACTATAGATCTTATAGTTTAGAAGATATAAACTTTTGCGGTTTGCCACGCCCTGTGGTCAGACATACATACTATATCAGTCTCAGCTTTTCGGTCTTGGGTGGTCAGCTCGAGTATACATATAATATTTCATAATTTGAAAAATCACTATATCATCAGGTTCGATTGGAAACGCCTTTCGTTAATCTATATAGAATCATAACATTAGCTTACGTGCAAAACTGCAGCGGTCTAGCTGTAATACTCTTATGCTGCAAACATAGTGCGCGCTGAAGATGAAGACGGAGCTGAAAGCGAAAAACTGTGCAGAACAAATCATATGAATTCGCTCACCCACAAGCATAGTGCCCGCTGAGACGAATGAGCTTACTCGCATTACAAGCTTCAGCTTCGTGTTCATCTTCGTCTTCGTCTCAGCGTGCACTATGTTTGCTGCCTTAAGCTATGTAGGTACAGCAAGTTGATTGCTGCAATCAAATTTGCACGTTTGAACACGAGTGCAAACGTTTTGCTGCAAGCAAAAAATTTGCAAAATTTGTTTGCGGCAAATGCAATATTGCAGCAAGAAAACCAAATGTGATATCGCGAGAAAACAATTGAATTAACAATATAATAAATTTAAATAATAAATTGATTCATTTTAAAATATTTAAAAAAAATATTTTGTATTGAATTATATAACTATGTATAAATATATACACACAATTAAGGGGATAAATTATATTCAAATTTAGTAATTAATAAAAGTTAAAAATATTAATTACAATGAAGCGATGATTGCTGAGCCCAACAGTTATTATATTTTTATTTTATTTTATAAATTTGTTATATAATTAATTTGAACAAACACTAATTTAAATATTATTTAAAAATAAATATGGTAAAATTTGATTAAGAACCTCAGTAATTAATTTTATAGATTACAAAATTTTAGATATAGAATTTTATAAAAATTGCCAAACAGCAGCAACTCTCGATTTTTGTGCCGACATAATATAAACACGTCGTTATTCCTTGAATTTTTCAATTCAACTGAACTTGCAAATGAGTGTCACTTGCAAGCAGTGCAAACAAAAACAAAAAATGAAAACACGTGTAGACAT